GGTGAAGGGATATCGCAGAATCAGAATCATTATTTTCAGTATTTAGATTATCTAAATTACTGGGATTTTATATCTATACTTGATTGTTTGAATAGCTTCAAAATTAACTATCTTATGTTATCTAATATCTAGACCCTTGTGAACTGATTGTGAAGCAATTTAGTAGCGGCTCGTGACTTTTAATAGATGGTTGTATAGTATATTAGTCCACTCAACCAAAATACCAGCTGATGTTTGGTCTGCCTTGACTAGATATTATGCCTCTACCAACATTGTACTAGGACCTTAAGTAGTACGTAGTAGTTTTGTGTTGATCCGTTCTATGGGATGTTCCTGCGCCAAATCGGGAGTCGAGTTATTCGCTTTCCAGTGCTTCAAGTAATAATGCCTTCATCTCGAGATACAGACGTGGAAACTCTCTTGCCTATATATCACCACTGGGAAAGACTTTCTTCCGCAATTGATTAACGCAGGATATCAATGGTGTACACCTAGAATGCCGAGAAGCTGTTTCGCAATATAAAGAAAAACGCTCTCACTGACCGCCGTACCAAGCTTGAAAACGGCAAGGCTCTTGTCATTCTCATAGTTCCAGCTGTCAAACATAGTGGGCCCCAAATCCTTACCAGGCCCGTTGCTGTGGGACCTCCTGACGAAATTCCTATATCAGAAACTCTGCCTCAGGCATCAGGCCAAGAACCTGCGGAACTTGTTGACCAATCAGATGTCAACAAGCTAAGCGATCGCCCGACCAGGTGGGGATGATAAAGCGCCCTGATCGGTCATTCATAGATTGATTAATTTCCAATCCATGTCGCATGTTGCTTTAAACATTATCATCGGCGCCTTGGACGCGAACCGTCTCGTGATGATAGTATCAAGCTATATTTACCACATCTTTCTTAGTCGCCTGAGTTTGTCCTCGTCGTCTCAAGAGTCTATATATTGCCAGGAGTCTTTAGAAAAAGGCGCGGAAGACGTCAAGCCCATCCATTGCCAATACCGGGGTTGTCCTTGATACCGTTACTCAAGTTAGTCTAGCAGTCTGTGGCCTGGTTGAAATTGCCCGGAGCTGCTCCCCAGGATATAGAAGTTGTTATGGAGCACATGAGCACAGTATTGAAAGAATATGACTCTATTCCCTCTCTATCATCAGCTCTACTCAGCTGGATGATGGGACGATGAAAAGGACTCAATTTAGTGCGTGGCTGCGATGATCAGGATTAGGAAGAAGTGAAAATGGTATCTGAAGGTGGTGTAGGAGGCGGTGAGAGTATTGCACGGTAATATCCAGTTGTAAATCCCCCTGCTATAAGGAATTGGCGGCTCATGATTCTGGTAGGTGATTGTATGTACAAGGCCTTGGACAGCCGTCTCTCCGTGAGGCCTCCATCCCCATTCTCATACAGACATTGACCGAATCCAACGTACACACTACGTGGATCCAGGAGAATTCAGAGCTCTTTTGTTTGCCGGTGTTTATCTGTCCTTTAATCTTGATGCGAACATGATGGGCCAGGAAACAAGAAAACGATGGATCCGATTCCTCAATGGCGAGAGCCCTTGGTCTGTAGAGGGAAGATTCGCCTTTGGTCTGTGAGTGCAAAGAGATTTCCGAGGGATAGTTTGCGGGTCGAAGACAAGTTAATCATCTGGAATTGCTAAGGAATGCGGAAATTGGTGCATATATGCCTATCGCTACTGGCTTGACATCAACACTAGTCTATTGACATGAGGAGATACAACAATGGTACCTATAAACGAGGTTTGACCCTTCCTGTGATCATGTGGTGCGGTTTTCCCTCTGACTCCGGATGGATAGGAATAGTTCACCTGACCTCAACCAAGAGCAACTACCTAGCTTCCATAGCTAGCACCTACCCAAGGTTTTACGATTTAAAGGAGCCCCCATTGGCTGGTGGTATACTCCGTAAGAATTTGCCTTCAATTGTTTACCTGTTACACAGGCAACCTAGGTATCCGATGTATGTATGTATGTACATACCACGCGAATCACCCATTGTCTCAAACGCCACTAATTTACCATTGGTCTATAATAGATGGATGAAACAGGTATCTACCTAATGTGGCGGGGCTCACCTGTCGTCCACATTCACTGAGGATTCGACCAACAGACTATATATAAATCTCCCAGTACGGAGTACTGTCATTCGCTATTATTAACCACATCTTCAAAAGGATCTAAGGGCGTGTCTATTTTTTAGATACTGGGGCCTAGCCCTCCTAGCAAGGTTTCCACCAATCTCTCACCACATACTACCTCTTACTCTTCCCATCTCTGTGCATGCCTGTACCACTACCCTTGATAGAGGTCGCTCCAGATCTACCGTCAAAATGAAAAAAGAGCCTTCCAATGGTTCCATGCTGGCCGACCCCACCCTCCTGGACAAAATCGACAAGCTCTTCGCCTGTAATGTTGGGGAGTATATTGCCCTTCCACAGTTAGTTGTTGTGGGCGACCAGTCCAGCGGAAAGTCGTCAGTCCTTGAAGGCCTCACTCGACTCCCCTTCCCGCGAGACAGCGGACTTTGCACCCGTTTTGCCACGCAGATCATTTTCCGGAGAAGCAGGGACATGTCCACTCGCCAGATCACAGCTTCAATTATCCCTGCATCAGACTCTGATGCTGAGCGTGCTACTCGTCTCAAGGCATGGAGATGTGAGAGTATTGGCGGCTTGGAGCCAGACATTTTCTCTGATATTATGGAGGAGGTGATATAAAACCTGGAGTCTTAATCTAAATATCGCTGGGCTGACTATTCAAAAGGTCTACGAAATGATGGGCGTCTCTACGACTGAGAACACGTCACTGCCTACCTTCTCTAAAGATGTCTTTCGCTTAGAGATATGTGGACCAGAGGAGGACCATCTGAGTGTCATTGACGTCCCTGGTATATTCAAAAACACAACTCCAGGAATAACGTCAAAGGCCGACATTCACGTGGTCAGAGACATGGTCGAAACTTACATGAGAAACCCTCGATCGATCATGCTCACTGTCGTTCCTGCAAACGTGGATATTGCCACTCAGGAAATCGTCGAGATGGCCCGCGAGTATGATCCAAACGGGGAAAGAACTATCGGAGTTCTCACAAAGCCCGACTTAGTTGATAAAGGCGCTGAAGACAGAGTCTTGGACTTGGTGGCCGGGAACAAGCTGTTTATCCAACACGGATGGATTCTTGTCCGTAACCTAAATCAGCAAGAGCTGCGGGACGGAGATACAGACCGAGACCAAGCAGAAAAGGCCTTCGGTCGGACTATGCCATGGAATGCGATTGCTTCGGACAAGTTTGGTATCAAATCTCTGAAAACTCGACTGCAAGAGGCAGTGACTGAGAATGCACGGCGCGCGTTTCCATCTGTCCGATCGGAAATTAGCAAGAGGCTCAAGGACTCTAAGAATGCATTAAAGGCCCTGGGTGGAGACAGGGAGACGAAGGAGCAAAAAGCGAGCTTTCTGTTGGACATCATCGCCAGATTTCAAGACATTACTGCTCAAGCTCTCAGTACCAACTATGGCGCGAATGATATTTTCGACACAAACATAGATCTTCGCTTGGCCACAGTGATTGTAACCCGAGATACTGCATTTGCGAATGAGTTATGCAAATGGGGCCATGAGTACGAATTCAAAGGCGAAGATGATCCTACTCACAATTCATCTACCGAAAATGCTATAACGAAGCCTACAGCAGAGCAACAAACAGTTCAAACCAGGAAGATCGACAGCATGACGGAGCTGGATGGTATCGTTACTGAGCAGACCAATGAAGCTCTCCCATCAAACAATGACATCAACAAATGGCTGTCTAAGCTCTACCGAACTTCGCGTGGCTTCGAGATCGGCACGTTCAATGGCTCATTGCTTGCAACAAGCATGAAGAAACAATCCGTCAAGTGGGTCAACTTTGCCAATGGTTACATTAGCGACGTGATTACAATTGTGCATAGATTTATCGTGACAACACTGAAGATAGCTGCTGTCGATCAACGTGTATTTGAAAATATGCTTTCCATAATGATGGATGCTCTCGTGGACAAGTATCACCGTGCCATGGAGCAGGTGCAGTTTCTCCTCCATGTCGAACGCAACGGAACACCCAAGACCCTCAATCACTATTTCAACGAAAACCTCCAGAAGTGGTATGTGAAGCCTCACCGTTGACCAAACGAGTTTACGAGCTTGCTAACAGGCTCTAGTCGAGAGAAGCGATTGAAATCCATCCTTGGAGACAAGGTCTTCCATGCCTCCGGCGATGTACCAGTGATTCGGCTGGATGACGTCATGGCCCAGGACCATCGGAGCAACGTTGAATATACCGTTCAAGACATACACGATATTCTTCAATCGTACTACAAGGTAGCCCGCAAACGATTTGTGGATAACATTTGTATCCAGGCAGCAGACTACTACCTCGTCACTGGACCTGAAACCCCCATGAAGTTGTTTTCGCCATCCTTTGTTAACAGACTATCGGAAGCCGAGCTGGATGAAATTGCGGGAGAGGATGCATCAGTTCAACGCAGGCGGTCAAATCTGAGAAAGGAGATTCGTGAGCTCGAGGAAGGCAGGAAGAACCTTTTCTGAGGGCACACCATTTGCAGTACGTCTTGAACAAACAGTTTACAGAGCTTGGGTTGGAAATTTCATATGCAGGCATATGTAGGCAGTGGAATTAGTAGTATGATAGCGTCAAACTAGAATTGAGTCCGATTGACGTGGAATACGAAACACACATTGCAGTTAAGTTACGCAGCGACGATATACTCATACAGGATAATCATTGCTAGTATTATGGACAACTTGAAGTACAAAAGGCTAGCTGGAAGATAAACCTCAGATACAACCACATTATATATCAGAGTCCTTGTTTGTGAGTGCTCTGGGTGTGCTATTGCGGCAAAAATCCAAATCAACAACCACAAGCTTGAAGCACCGCCTGTATAATATCTGACATCTGAAAAACAAAAAGTAATGACCAGACTGGGGCTCGATCCCAGGACCTTATGCGTGTTAAGCATACGTGATAACCAACTACACCATCCGGCCAATTGATGAATAGCGGGTTGGTTATTTGCCATCAACAGGCAGGCAGTAGTGGGATGGTGGGGATCAACTGAAAACGGTGTGGGGCATTAGGGCTATTTATCTTCATCCGGTATCAGTTGTGGGTACCCCTTTTTTTCAATAAATACAAAATATCATGTACAAATTTCATAATACCGACTTGACATTGTAGAAGGATTTATTTACCGATAAATAATTTATCTGTGTGTATCATTCAAAGGGAAGGACTACCCCTGCCGCGAGCTCATCCTGTAGTCATGACTTTGTATATGGGAACTTGAGGGGTCCATGAAGACTACTACGATGGCAGTACAGTACCCTGGAGAAAGGGTAGTCCAATTATCTGCTGGGGTATATACGGGTTGGACTTTATATTGTGTCTATTCAAAGAAGCAGATATATTTATTGCGACGGAAACGCAAAGATGGTTGCAGCTAGGACATTGAATTAAACAACTCGGGAATACCAGATGTTCAAAGAGAGGATTTCATTAGAGGTACCTACCCATGGAAGGATGACAGAAGTGAGCAAATAGAGGAACTGTGGAGTTCAACATCAGTAGAGGTAGGGGTACAAGGCAGAAAGTTGAACATTCCAAGAACACTATGCCAGGTCTCAGGGGCATTGGTGATTCCCACGGCCGTTTGGCCTTATGCAACTGGGTATTTCGATGTAGTTGGTTCAACTTTGATAAAAAAGAAATGTACTTTCCATGGAACTGGGGTGTTCTAGGGATACAAAATGCAAAAAGATGACCAGACTGGGGCTCGATCCCAGGACCTTATGCGTGTTAAGCATACGTGATAACCAGCTACACCATCCGGCCAAGTGTTATATACCCAGTCGTTATTTAGTAATATACTAGTACGCTACCGGCCAACCCCTCAGTATCTTACCCCTGAACACAAGACATTCAGGACTCCAGAAGTGTCGATGTAGCGTTAGCTAATAAAAATCTCACTTGTGTTATCGGTCAACCGATGTACTTTCTCTTGTGCTAATGACTAGCATAGCAGTAACTTGGTTTGTTTCAGGCTGGACATGCCCTATCAAGTGGGTATCGAGAAGTATATGCCATGCTCGTGGACAGTTGAATGCATACTGTATCCTGACTACCATTCCTGTATGGCATTACCCAAATGGCCAAGATTGAATTATAACCCCGACACAAGTTCCAGGAGCCTTTCTCTCGACGGCGGTAATAGGACCCACGAGCCTTTATGGCATACTTGGAATATCCTTCTACAGCCGAGTCGCCAATGGGCCAGACAACTATACATAATCATACAAGCACGTCCTTTTACGATCAAACGCTATCGAGCATGGATAAGGAAAATAGAATCTCTAGATTGTCATATAGAAGTCTGGATTTACTGCTCCAATGTTGTCTCAGTATTCATAAGCATTCATCGAATGGATGGTGATCTGATTATTTAGTAATAATAGATGCAGAAGTGAGTGGAAAATTGTAGCTCTGGAGTTTTAGCCTCTTATTGCCAAATGTTGGAGCCCATCTTCATCACCTGGCCGGATGGTGTAGTTGGTTATCACGTATGCTTAACACGCATAAGGTCCTGGGATCGAGCCCCAGTCTGGTCATTACTTTTTGTTTTTCAGATATCATTGTCCACAGACGGCCTTCTTGATTATTGATGGGGTTTACCCATTTGAACCTCTCACAATTTTAATTGAGGGGCGTTACTGCACTTAACTGCCCCAACTATCAAGGAGTCTTGGACCCCTGGTCAGTGTAGAACACCTGTTCAGTGTCAACTATGAGAATCCCGAACTAAAACAGCCTAGGAAATGCTTGTCTGTTTATCCCAATAATATTAGATCAAAGGAAACAATGTTGTCCAAGTGTCTTATAGAGTACAATACTTGAACATTCTAAAATATATATAGTGGGTTAGCGGCATGCTAACACCACTGTTGCTGGCATTTGCCATAGAGCACAACAACAGGCTGTACATATTACTTGAATATAGTAGTAGTACAAATCCAGCAACATTAGCACTCCTTAATAGTTTCACTATGTTGCAAATATCTAATCCTTCCATATTTCATACTCAAATTCCCTTCACAGTGATAAACCATAATAAACACTGGAAAGATCTCGCAAGTACTAAAAACTAGCAGGCATAATAATTATGTCACGCATAGATATTCCCTTGGATGCCAGACCTATGTACCACATTTGAAATCTAACCATGACTCATGATGTATTCGAAACTCATAATTGCATAAATCTGGACAATTCAATATCCCCAAAGCCTGACTAGACCCAATGTTCTGCAATATACCCACCTCGCGCCCCGAACCACAACTTACCATGTCTCAAAAGATAACCCAGGAAAGAAGCGGGCTCTCCAGAGTCAACAGCACACCAAACCAACCGCTATCAGCATACCAATGGCCAGCTCAGTGTGATCCACTCATCCAAAGCGCACCGTATCACGAGATCGACATGGAAAGAGAGGAAAGCATTGGGCGTTCCAGTAATAGCGAAACAAGAACCCCGGCATCTGGATATTATTGGGGAAGTCAGGATAACTTACTCATGTGCGAAACCGGATTTTCAAATCGAAGTGCATTGGAAGGTGGTAAGACATGCCACTCCTGACTCGCGTTGGCAAGCTCACCGGTATAGAAACAAAAGAATACCTGCGAAAGTCGGGGGTCAGGAAGTTGATGCAAGGGTTGAGGCAGCGCTGTCATCTTTATGCTCGGAAGATTGCTTCGGTCACTCGTAAGTTATTCACTCTGCTTGGTGGCTTTTTCTATGTGGTGGTTGTGGTGCTGACTTTATCTCTGATTTGCGCTTTGCCTATGTGGTTCTTAGGGAGGAAAAGAAAATAACCTAGGGATTACGGGAGGGTGTTGGACTGATAGTACGAGGAGCTGGGCTAAAATATGGCAGCATATCTAAAGATTATTTGGCTTCTCAGGAAGAAGGTATCTATCATTGCGGAAGAAGTATGGCTGCGTGGGGTTTCCAAGTCCTGTTTGCCTCATGATGGATAGAAAGTTCCAGGACAACGAATACATTGATTTATAGTAGAATGCTATAAAAATATCAGTAGCACTTATAACTTCATTCAATATCGTCCAAGTCATGCCTATAAACCGAAGTCAACCACTAAGGTTTCTACAATGTTGAAGTGGGTGTTGATAAATCATGATATAGTCAAAAACCTGCAAATATCATCCATAATCCCGATTATCAGACGGACTGAAATTTTCATTGTCGCTCCATGCAGCGCCATGAGTCTATACAGTTCCTCCGGCATGAAGGAAAATGCTTTTTAAAACCTCCGCAGACTCAACTAGACTGTCATGATCAAGTCCAGGAAAAGTCGTGGTCTCGAAATCAAGCGCACTCGCGAAGCCCTCCGTGTTTCCGTTCCAACACTCTTCTACGTACTGTTGGCCCTTCTTCCCAATCATAGAGTCAGTCTCCGCGAAATATGCCCTTACTTTCAGCCTATCTTCTCCAGGCTTCCGATCTCTCCCACTTTCGAGATCCACCAACTCCCTGACATAAACGCCATAGTCCTTACACTTCCCCCACGTCTTCTCACAATCTGCCCCCATCCGCAAACATTGTACAGCCTCGCTATTGGCACCAACGGTATTTTCCTCAAACATGAACCTGAGCATTAGAAAATGAATTTCCGTCTGAACATCCCGAGCGAGTCCGTAGTCCTTCTCAATCTGTCGCCGATTCTTCTCTTGTTCAGCCTCACTCCTTCCGCTGACACTGATGCTAGAGCCAGAGGAGACAACATTCCAAGTTTTACTCATCGCAGCCGCGCCAGATGCAAAGGCCGGACCGGCCTTCAGAAGAAGAAACTTCGGAATCAAATTCCAAATATCAAAAGCTTTCCCAGGGAGATATTGGGCGATCTGCATACTCGTGACATGGGAATGGGAGGGATCCACCCAGGGTGCTATCTTCTATTAATAAACAGAGTACTACCCGGAGGGGGGGAAGGAAAAGATGGAGTTTACCTAGAAAGGCAACGAATGGCTTCTCGGGGTGGAGCATCTCACGGCAGTGAACCAGGGTGTTTAGTAGATAAATCGTTCCAGCACAATGCGATACCAACGCGACATGTTGGATACCTAGATGCGCTAGAAGATGGGGTACTAGTTCGATCCAGATGGAGAGTCGCTGCGCCAGCGGGACGTCGGTGGTATTTCCAAACCCGGGGCTGTCCTGGATAGTTAGTATTGGTATCAATCATACAAGCTCGTATACGTGGAATCCTAACCGATCGACTATCAAAACACGCACTCCTAGTTTCTCTGCGATTGTATGCATGAGAACGCTCAGGTACCGGGAGGCGAACATGCCCGGCATAAAGAGGATGGTTGGGGGATTCGGATTCGGCGGTTCCGGGGTAGACCCGACATCCGCATAGGTGACGGTGAGGGTTTCATGATCTGCCGTGGCAGGGAGTGTGAAGCCGCGGTGGAAACGGTTGTTGGAGATATATCGGAGGGCGATGGCGCTGGGAGAGTTGGGATCGGCCGACATGATCTTCTTGTGGCTGCTCTGATGATGATACTCTACTACTAGTAGGATACTAATGGTTACCAAGTGGTGTGGTTGAGTGGTGATAGACAGGATTATTTGATCACTTATTATAGATTCAAAGTGGCTGAGCCGGGTTTATGCAGTTGCCTTGCTAGCAGCAGGAGCAGGTGACTCAAAAATAAAAATAAAGTTGCCTTCAAAGAACTTCAATCGGACCTTATTTGAACCAATGAAAACCACTTCGTTACGAGCTCAAGAATTCTATTGTCCTCTTAAGCGAAGGCTGAGCTTTCCCCTGGATCACAGCGCAAAAACGACAACAAAAATGGTGATTTTCACTAGTGAAAGCCTACAGCTTGACTTTATTCTAAGACGTAATTAAGACATCCCCAGATATCCTAAGATGTTCTCACCACACGAAGTTCACAATAAGCTCTACCAC